AAAAAAAAAAAAAAAAAAAAAAAAAGAAAAAAATTTCTAATTTAATATCGACAATTCAAAAAGATAAATAGAAAAAGCAAATTACGGACGTGACTCTGATATATGGATCAATGATATAAAGCAAGAACGAACAATAAGATTCTACAAAGTTTGCGCGTTCTGCTTATTTCGTCGTCGATCCGAAAACCATTTCCGCTGGAGGAGCAGGCAGGCACGAGGAAAACTTCGTCGCGAATTAAGGCAATCGGATACCGCGTCGACCGAGACGACGCGGATCGAGAAACACTTGAAGCGGAGGGTTCAGGTGTTCGGTGATGTGACCTTGAAGTGTTGCTCGGCCTGATGGGCGTGTAGGATGAAGGCCTTGAACGCAGCGAACGGACACAAGGGACACTTGAACTGAGGCGGTTCGCACTTGTGCTTCAAATAGTTGCTCCACATCTTGTAGAACTTGCTGCACATTGTGCACGTATAGCCGAGAACTTGGTCGCCCATGTACATCTTCCGGTAGGCTGAAAGCAAAGGGACCAAGTTAGAAATAAGCTGAAGCTACGGGAACGAACGAAGGAGAGAAAGAGAGCCGGCTTCTTCGATCGAATCGCGTCCTCTATGAAACCTGGAGGACGATTAATCTCGCGAATTCATCGCAATAACGGCCGCCATTGCGTCGATCGTCGCGCAAACGATTCTTCGCGAACGACTCGATTCGATCGGCAGAATGAATGTGTGGGTGTAGTTAGGAAACCGAAGGTTAGAAATCGTCAACATAGAACGCATTCCTGCGAAATCGGTTTATTACAGAGATCAAGTGGCCGTCACTCGAGCGCAAGCGTGATTGTAAGTTTCATGTACTCACTGCCACGAAACGATAAGTTAAAACGACTACCTGGAACTAGTTATCAAAATCGTTGCTTTTCAATCGTTTTATCTTGATCCGCTAACTCTCCTCATGGTTCGGATTATTACTCGATCGTTGCCTCTCCCTATTTTTCTTCTCCATATTTCATTTCTATGACTCCGTCGTCGGTTCATTGTTGCATGCATTGTCGAAATCACTCATCGAAAGTCTTACATTTATCGTGATCATTCGTGCTGGATCTACCCGTGCAACCCGTCTGAGAGGGTTAAAAATTCTGAGTGAGTTTTATTCGTGCTTCGCACTGAATCTTATTCGATAAGTACGAAACACATGCACACGTTGCTTTCTTATATATGGAAA